AAGTCGCCGGGGAGTTCACTCAGTCATTCATGAAATGTATAGTGAAAAACTAAATTTAAAAATATTCTTTTTAATTTACTTGAGGGTTAGAGCTTTGCTCAACTACCTTTAACATAAGTATAAATCAATAATACTTTACCCTTGGATTCAGCTTGATTGGTGCTTGTAATGCTGAACTTGTAATGCTAAACTTGTAATGCTGGTCTTGTAATGCTGGTAGTGTCCAAGTACAACACGTAACAAGTTTCAGATAGTGAAGACTGACTGGGATTGCCATGACCACTACAAAGTCAAGGTGGTCTTGCCAAAAGCTGGACAAATTGCAGTAATATGGTGAGACGCTGCATTACGTTTCTCACCGGAACTAGTTGGACAATTCAAGCAACAAAATTCTCACAGCCATACAGTGCATATCGAATATCGCAATATTATTTAAAGTCCATGTATAATCAACACGTTTTTCCAGTTCTAGCAAGTCAAATAAGCTTTGACACTCTATTACCTTTTCTCTCTCCCAGTGAAGATCATCGCTTTAATGGCTCTGCAGCGAACGAACTTTCCACAAAAAAAAGCTTCTAGGGTCTCTGCTCACAAGAACAGAAAGTATACTCACTGCTTTAAATCAAAAGGAGGTTTAACATTCAAGTTCAAAGCTCATTGTGGAGCTTGAAGTTGTCATTCAACATTTGGGGTGGTTACAGCGAATAAACTGAAATTGAAAACGAAAACTACCAATGCTGCAAACACTTGCACAGCAAATTATTGTCAATCCTTTTATTTGGAAGATGTCCAAAGCCTAGCTTCAGTTCTCCACAGCGTTGGGATTTCCAGAGTCCCTGCAATTCGCACAATAATTCAGTGTGGCCTCGCAATTGCCCCCATCGAATGCATGGCTTCCGCAGAGTCGACAAGGCTGGTTGTCATACACATGGAGAAACTGCTGCTTGAGAACTGCCCCACTCACGGATGGATAGTTGCCATCGCACCTGAAAATTGCGGTGCAATGGCCAGAAACACGAGAAGTGAAGCCATTGTAGATTGTTCCGTCGGTGTAGCGAGAGATTGCTCGTCGGCAATCGGCCTGGTTGACGCGAGATCCACAGAGTCCAGAGCCATTGCAGTTGTCGTTCTTGGCACAGCTGGAGGAGCCAAGAAAGATCACAAGAAGAATAGCAAGAAGAGAGAAGAGCTTGAGAGAAGACTCCATTCGACTATGTTAGAAAGAATGCTGTAATGAGGAGCTGAAGTATGAAGAATGATTTTGCCAATGGAATGGTCTGGTTTATATAGGGGTATTTTGAAGACTGCGTCATACAGAGTTTACACGATCTCCTGATTTTTAAAGTATTTTCTAATGCAAGAATTTGTTTACAATTAGAACATGCTAGTTGAATAGACTCGCACCAGCATGGCACATTCGATTGTCCCCCCATTCCTGTATCAGGTACTTCGATTTTCTTACTTCCACACTGTTCGCTGTCCGTGAATTTTCGGAGTACACAATAAGCTGTCTACAGGCTCTTGAATTCCACCGATTTAAGGCTGAGCCATCCTTTGCATTTAACAAGTTACGGGATTCATCTACAGATGATAATTTTGTTGTTTTTCTCGGCTGGTTCTTCTCCGGGTGCCAAAACGTGACCGCAGTACTATGGAGTGCTCGAAGAAAACCTGGCAAATCCAAAAGCAATTTTAAGTACTTCACATCGCTTGGAATCTACAATCCCGCTTAAATCTTGTTAAATCTCATCAGAATTTTACCAAGAAACAAGACAAGGCAAGCTTCATCGATCGCTCGCATAAACAGTTCGATAAGAAAAAGAAAGAAATCAAGAAACTCAAATAAGACTGTTTCCTCTAGCCTTTCTCGTTGTAATCTATCAGCTGAATTCGTGCCATGCGCCACCAGGTGGAGTTTTGGTGACAAGGACACAAAGAGCTATACGTGCTTCACTTCAGGCTGGAAGAACGCTCGAACTTGTCGTGGGTGTTCCTAGGAATACGTTTGTGAGTGTTTAGTAGAGCGTTTAGGGAGGATACCGGTAACGCTCGACAGTGTGTTTGGCCGAGACTAACCAATCGTCAAATCTCTCTCCTCTCTCTGTGTTTTCGTTTGCGCACAATTTTTTGCTCAAAAAATGTTATAACAAATATGGATTCAGCTTCATTGGTGCGCCTGTATGGAGCATGTCAAACTTGTAATGCTGGTAGTTTCCAAGTACAACACGTAACAAGTTTCAGTTGACTACCAAGTCAAGGTGGTCTTGCCAAAAAGCTGGGCAAATTGCAGCAGTTAAATTATAATATGGTGAGACGCTGCATTACGTTTCTCACCGGAACTAGTTGGACAATTCAAGCAACCGGGAGTCAAGTAAAACAGAAGTCAAAGTTTAATTGACTAGCTAGAACTTGAAAAAAGTGTTGTATGCACGGACTTGGAGCCACCTACGCCCGATCATTCCAGATAATGCTTGCATCCTCTGTATTACCGCGGCTGCTGGCACAGAGTGTCGATTGCGATATTTGATAAGTGAAGATCATCGCTCTAATGGCTGTGCAGCGACGGTCTCCGCTCACGAAACAGAAAGTATACTCACTGCTTCAAATCAAAAGAAGTTTATCAATCAAGTTCAAAGCTCATTGTGGAGCTTGAAGTTGTCATTCAGCATTTGGGGGGTTACAGCGAATAAAAAGCAAACACTAACAACACTGCAAACACTTGCACAACAAATTATTGTCAATCCTTTTATTTGAAACATGTCCAAAGCCTAGCTTCAGTTCTCCACAGCGTTGGGATTTCCAGAGTCCCTGCAATTCGCACAATAATTCAGTGTGGCCTCGCAATTGCCCCCGTCGAATGCATGGCTTCCGCAGAGTCGGCAAGGCTGGTTGTCATACACATGGAGAAACTGCTGCTTGAGAACTGCCCCACTCACGGATGGATAGTTGCCATCGCACCTGAAAATTGCGGTGCAATGGCCAGAAACACGAGAAGTGAAGCCATTGTAGATTGTTCCGTCGGTGTAGCGAGAGATTGCTCGCCGGCAATCGGCCTGGTTGACGCGAGATCCACAGAGTCCAGAGCCATTGCAGTTGTCGTTCTTGGCGCAGCTGGAGGAGCCAAGAAAGAGCACAAGAAGAATAGCAAGAAGAGAAAAGAGCTTGAGAGAAGACTCCATTCGACTATGTTAGAAAGAATGCTGTAATGAGGAGCTGAAGTATGAAGAATGATTTTGCCAATGGAATGGTCTGGTTTATATAGGGGTAATTTGAAGACTGCGTCATACAGTGTTTACACGATCTCTTGTTTGTTAAAGTATTTTCTAATGCAAGAACTTGTTTACAACTAGAACATGCTATTTGAATAGACTCGCACCAGCAGTGGGCTAGAGATCGTCACAGCTAGCACATTCGATTGTCCCCCCATTCCTGTATCAGGTACTTCGATTTTCTTACTTCCACACTGTTCGCTGTCCGTGAATTTTCGGAGTACACAATAAGCTGTCTACAGGCTCTTAAATTCCACCGATTTAATGCTGAGCCATCCTTTGCATTTAACAAGTTACGGGATTCATCTACAGACGATCGCTCTCGCATAAACAGTTCGATAAGAAAAAGAAAGAAATCAAGAAACTCAAATAAGATTGTTTCTTCTAGCCTTTCTACGTGCTTCATTTCAGGCTGGAAGAACGCTCGAACTTGCCGTGGGTGTTCCTAGGAATACGTTTGCGCACGCCAATTTTCTAGTGTTTTAGTAGAGCGTTTAGGGAGGATGCCGGTAATCTCTCTCCTTTCTCTCTGTGTTTTCGTTTACACACAATCTTTTGCTCAAAAAATGTGTTTCCAAGAAACCGGGATTACGAAGCAGTCAAAGATAACCGGTAAAAGGTTAAAAGTAAAGAATATAAAAGGTGGTAGCCCTAGAACGCGTGGGAAAATTTTCTCTATCGCATCAGTTATTGGCCAAGACCAAAAAGCCCAAGGACACGTACAAGAGGAACACCGGATAGATGGCCAGAGCCTTCCGGCTACCCGGCACAGCGGAGCTCATGAAAGGATACACCGCCCAGGAGCTCCACGCCACCGTGACGAGCACCACCACGCTTCTAAACAGCTTGTTGTCTCGGACCATGCAAATCGCCGCTCCAACAGCCAGCGGGAAGAGGCAGTAGCCCAGCACGCTCAAGCTCTGGAAGAAGATGATGCTGCCACCCTGCAAATCCATCGAGGGATCCATCACTCGGTCACTGGAGCTCGAAAACAATGGAGAGAACTTACCAGCAAGACTACGTTCACTGTGAGAACCACCGCTCCGGCCGAGAGAACCGCGAAGACGGTCGCGAAAACTTTGGCCTGGAACACGAGAGAAAAGATCACAAGATCATTTTGGATCGAGAGGAAAGAAACTGCGAAAATCTTACCCGATCCGCGGAGGCCGAGTAGGAGAGAACGGTTGCGAGGAAGATGATGAAGAAGAATGGCCCCCAGAGATCCCAATCCTTCAGCGCCTTGCCAGCGTCCTTGCGGTATGGATTTGGAAACACCACATTCTTGAGGTTCTCAAACACCTGGTTGATATCGCGCTTGAGCGTCTCCCACACTGGCTCCGTGAGAGTGTCATAGCCGGGGCCGCCCCCAAATCCCGTCATCATCGCTGGAGAGGTCTCGGAGGAAGAGGAGGCATCGAGATTGGCCGCTGGATATGACGGAGGAGGAGGAGGCGGAGGAGGAGGAGGAGGAGGAGCTCCTTTGGATTTCGCTGCCGATGCCACCGGCGTGACTGGAATTGTGGCGCGCGGCGGGCTGGGCGGCCTCCTGGAGCTGGAATCTACCGGCGCCGCGGGCTGGACACTTATCTGGAAGAGATTCTCGATCTCGTCGATGTCGGACTGCGACGACGCGTGGAGCGGGATCTTCTCGATGTCGGCCATGATCCAGCTCCCGCAGATCTAGATCGATCGATTGGTATCGCGCGCGCTAGGGCTTAAGAATCCAAAGAAGAACCCTAATTCCTGAAGACTTTAATAAAAGGAGATTACATAGTCTAGTCGCAAAGAAGGCTTTGTTTGCTTTGATCGTTCTCACATTTTCCATTGGTCAAATGCTCGTCGATCGCCACCACTGGCTCAGGGATCTCGTCGCCCATTTCTTTGAGCGCTTTGAGCTTTCGATAGCCAATATCCGTGCCAAAAATCCTGCCAAAAAGAGATCGTAGATCACACCACTCTCGAGAGAAAGAAAACGAAGATCTTAGAGCGCGTACCAATCCATGTAAGTAAATGTCGAGGAGTAGTTTCCGGACTTGGTGTAGAGAAGCCTGTGGTGGTAGTCGTGAAACTCCGCGCTGCGAGAGAGCTCACAGTAAGATCGCACAAAGAAAGGAAAATGGAGCTGCGTGATCTTACCCGCCATAGAGAGGAAGAAACTTGGAGGGGCTCCAGGGGAAATCATAGCCGCAGTGTGCTTCAATGGTCTCCAAAACGCGAAGGCTAATCCAGAGCCAGAGCGTGAAGAGATGAGGGCCTGTTATAGCTGGTCCGAAAATCGTTGCAAAGCCCAGGAACAGGATCTCTGCGGGATGAGCGTACTCCGACGTGAGACCGAATGGAGTAGCATATCTATCAAGAACAGGAAAAGAGATGGTAAGTCAAAAACCGGAGGAGCAAACTTACTCATGATGAACACAGTGGACATGCTTGTACAGCCACTTGGTGTGAAGAACTCGGTGGCCCCAGTAGAAGATAAAGTCCTCAAGGATGAAGTAGGAGAGGATCTGGAACACGACCGTCTTCCTGCAGCAACAGGAAGTCAATCCTTTTGTTTCATTTCTTTTTGACGCGAAGAAAAGTAAAAAAAAACACGAGAAACTTTGCTATCACATACCGGTTCTTACCATGAAGGCAAAGGCAGCTTGCTTGTAAAGCCCATGTACTTGAAAATTGGATACGAGGCTCCCATCAGCGGAAGATTCACGCAAGTGTGATAGAAGAGCAGCCTCACAAGGCATTTCACTTGCGCGGCGTAAGTGTTGACTTTGTTCTACAAGACAAAAATCTTTGTCAATGAAGAATCCTTCCTAGAGATGAATCCACGCTATAGAAAATGACGTCAGTTAAAACTTGTTCTATAGTTCTAAAGCATGTTTAAAAAGAAAAACTCTCGAGAGTAAACACAAAAGGAGGAATAGCGAACCTGGATCTTATACTTTCGCAGGCCAGCAATCTCCATGAAGAGATAGGGCAGGCCAAAGGAGAAGAAGACGAATTCGTGAAGAACAAAGCTCCCAATGGTGACAAGCTGGAGTTCGCTATAGTTGTCGATTAAGTACTGGAGCAACAACAAGAGAGATCTCGCATCAGATTTCGCGAACTCCAAGCGCCTACATTGGAATGGCATGCAATCCGGAAGGAAAAGAAGATACCTGCCAAGCGGATTCCAGCCAAGAAGACGGTGCCGCCATCGCTCTTTCCAGCGCTCGTCCGTCACACAGTGGTTTCCTCAAGAGAATTCCTCGCAGAGGCGCTCCATCGCGCACAGATCCAGGGAGAACGCGCAGAGATCTCTCGCAAACCCTAACAATCACGGCACACAAAGATCATCCATCCTTCGCTTTGTGTCCCGGATGCCACGTGGGCAGACAATTAAAAAATAGGCATCTTGGGGGAATCTCGCCCGTGAGCGCTGCCACGTGGCAAAACGAAAATCAGTGGCGGGAGAGAGCGCTATGGCGAATGCGATGGCTATGGCGGCCCAGATTCCATCGCCTTCGTCTCCTTTCCTCCGTAGCGCTGGCGCTGGCGCTAGGGTTTCGTCTTTCTCCTCCGGGGGTGCCGCATCGCTGTCATGTCGATCGAGATCTTCTTTCACGCGGAGATCGATTCGTGTCAGTGTTAGCGGCGCCGCCGCCGATCGACCGGCGGAGGATGCCAGCGGCGCAGGGCAATCCGTGAATGAGGTACACATGATCGTCATCGTTGGCGCAGGGATTGCTGGATTGGCAGCGGCTTTGGCCTTCCAAAGGTACTTTAAATTCTTTCTGTCGTGCGTCTTTGTTTCTAGCGCCCCATGCGATGCCTCTCATACTTTTCCAGCTCTTTTGTGCCAGGCTTGGGCTGCAAACTCTTGTTCTCGAGAAAGCTAGCGATTTAAGAGCTGGTGGAGCAGCTTTAACGATTTGGAGGAACGCTTGGCGAGCTCTTGACGTACTCGGAGTTGGCGAAGAATTGCGTAACCAATACTATCTCCTTGCTGGGTAATGATCTTGGTTTCTTCTTCATTGGAGGAACTTGTTCTAGCTATCAGCTCACAGAAACCTTTTCGCTACTTTTTTCTTTCGTCGCAGTTCCCACGTCGTGTCTCTTCAAGGCAAAGTGATCCACCAGCTAAGCTTTGGGAATTGCTCGAGGGGCGGGTGAGTTTTCCTGACTTGTAAGTGTTGCTCGTGCCTGGCTTTGCGAATCTGTGCAGAGGTTGTCTCATCACTTTCAAATTTTTTCTGGCTTGCCAGGCTGAACGAGGTCCGAGCGATCGAAAGGAGTGCGCTGCTAGAAGCACTGGCAAAGCCGTTGCCTGCCGGAACCATTCGATTTAAGTCCAAAGTTGTCAATGTACGTAAAGGCACCAAGAAAACTTACAACGAAGTCGAGCTCGAGGATGGAACTATTATTGCCAGTAAGGTAAGGTGTCGATTCCATCCAATTTTTTCCAGTGGGATTCTTAGAAGTTAAAGTTGATCCAGGTTCTTGTAGGATGTGACGGCGTCAGGTCGGAAGTTGCAAAGTCCTTGGGTGTCAAGGAACCAAGTTTTGTAGGACAGTGTGCAATACGCGGCGTTGCCGACTATCCAGCGGGACACGATTACGGTTCAATGCTGCTACAGTTTCTGGGGCGAGGAAGTCGAGCAGGCGTCGTTCCAATCTCTTCGACCAAAGTTTACTGGTTCGTGTGTTTCAAGTCTTCATCAGCAGGTACGTTGTAGTTTTGAGACACCGTTTCGTAAGTTCTGAGATTCTATTCTTCCAGTTGTGCGAAAGGTGGAGCCAGAAGTGTTGAAACAAGAAGCTCTCGAGCACCTCAAGAGCTGGTGCAAGAAAAACCTCGAGGAGTTCTCCAGCCTCATCGAAAACTCTCCCAATCACACGGTCACTCGGAGCGCCCTCCGGCACCGATGGTCGCTCCCGCTCGTAAGTCCCTCGCTGGCTGCTGACGGCATAACTCTGGCAGGAGACGCGCTCCATCCCATCACTCCAAACCTGGGCCAAGGCGGCTGCCTCGCCTTGGAAGACGGTGTCATCCTCGCTCGAGAGCTCTACAACGCAGTGTTTGCGAGGAAAAGCATGAACGCCGAGGACATGGACACCAACATCAAGTGTGCTCTGGATGCTTACGCCAAGCAGCGATGGTATCGCTTCTTCCCACTCACAGTTAAGTCGTTCTTCATTGGATTTCTTTCGATGCTCGAGCTCTGGCCTGTGATCTACGCTCGCGACTCATTTGGTGTCAAGGTTGCTCTACAGCCAGACAGGTTTCTAAAGCACACTCTATATGACTGTGGAGAGCTACCGATTCCAAGCTAAAATCAATAAACTATCGTCGCAAATGCTTAGTGACAATAGCTCGTGAACTCTTGTCGCAAATGCGTAGTGACAATAGCTGTGACAATAGATTAATGAAACTATTGTCGCAAATTTGGTACGAAAAGGATTTCCTTTTCCTGCCACTTGTCATTCTGACGTGGGAATCTCAACAAAAAAAGGAAGAGATTATGACATGGGGAGTGGGCGATTATGACAAGTGGTGGTGTTTGGGGCCGTTGGATTCGGGCCCGTCAGGTGAAGTGTGGTGCTGGCCCGTGAGCTGCCCGTCAAAATTCCCGTGTCTGAATTGAATGGAGATCGATACAACGAGGAGCGAGTGATCCGATGATCCATTGTGTCTGTGGTTGCGAGGTCGGCCATAGCGATGCCGGAATCGCGACGATCGCACGGAGAGCGAGCTCTAGACGAGCGATTTCTTGGATGCTAAGCTAATCGAGCTCCAAAATAGGGCAAAGGAGCTCCAGATCTTACTTAAAAGGAGTGCTGCGGCTATGGTGGAAGGATCGCGCAGCTAGGGTTTACGCGGCAGAGGTAGCGCCAAGCTTTCGGCTAGGGTCTGTTTTCTTGGTGATTCCCTGGCGTTGGAGGGGAAATGCGGCCATCTGGAACAGCCGATGCCTTCTTTCCAGCCGCGGCGATGGCTGGGATCCGCGTATCGGCTCCTGCATTGCGCTCTTCTTGATCGATCCGGGCAGTTTATTTAAGCTGCGCGATTCATGTGTCTCCTGGACCGATTCTTCGCCACAGTGCTCTCCCGGCCGCGAATTCGTCGTCAGCTGGATCGGATTGAGTGGAAGAAGAGGTCGTCGGCGTCGTCAATAGCGAGGAGGAGGATTGGGGCTTGGCAATGCTCAAGGGGATTGCCGTGACATGCAGGGATCTGAATGGAAGGAGGAGCGCCGAATCTGGCCAGATGAGGCCGCCGGCTGATCATCACAAGGCTGGGAAGCTGAGGTTTCCGATGCTACCGAGATCACGTATCAATGTGTGGCTACTGCGAGCGAGCACTAGCATCCTGCTGTGGACGTGTATCATCCAGCTCACTGCTCTGGGCGAGCTATGGCGTCCTCGATTGCTTGGGGGGCGATCGTCTTGCAACGAGCAGAAGGAGAGCGTGTCACCCATTGTTCCAATCTATCCGCCACAGAGTGAGTGTTTCCTCTTCCTTGTTTCTTTTTTCTTTCTTGATCTTGCTTATAGTCTTGTGCTCTTTGTGCTTCCAGGAATATATAAAAACAATGGCTACCTGATGGTTTCTTGCAATGGAGGACTTAATCAAATGCGAGCTGCTGTAGGTGGAGATTGATTCTATGCGTTTTATTTTTCTCTATCGTTTTTGTTCTCATTGTGAGCTTATTCGTGTTCTTCTTGCTGATGTAGATCTGTGACATGGTCACGATTGCCAGGCGCTTGAACGTGACTTTGGTGGTTCCGGAGCTTGACAAAACGTCGTTTTGGGCCGATCCCAGGTGGCTATAGAATTCTAGTTCAAGTTGGCGCTGATTAAACAATTGCTTGTCTCTCTCTTGCAGCAATTTTGATGACATTTTTGACGTAGACAATTTCATCTTCTCGCTGAGGGATCAAGTCAAGATCGTAAAAAAGCTTCCGTCTAAATTCGATCGTTTAGTAGAGAATAAGAGCATTTTCACGCTTGCGCCGATTAGCTGGTCAAATGAGACGTACTACGATAAGCAGGTCTCGATTTCCTTGCCTGTTTCGTTTGTTTTCTTGACTGATCACTTTTTTGTCCCTGGCGCAGATCCTTCCTTTAGTTCGTAAGCAAAAGGTTATTCGCTTGAACCGAACTGATGCTCGTCTAGCAAACAATGGGCTTCCCTCGGACATGCAATTGCTGAGATGCAGAGTCAATTATCACGCTCTTCGATTCACACCCAAAATCATGGCACTCGGGCAAAAGCTAGTCAAGATTCTACGATCAAAGGGACCTTTCCTGGTTCTCCACTTGAGATATGAGATGGATATGCTCGCATTTTCCGGTTGCACGCACGGATGCACGAACTCTGAAGCGGAGGAACTTACTACAATGAGGTGATGCATTCTTATCTTGAAAGTTCATACGGCGCTCATATTATTCTGGTTCACAGGTATGCATTTCCGTGGTGGAAAGAAAAGGTCATAAACTCGGAGCAAAAACGAAAAGACGGGCTTTGTCCACTGACTCCGGAAGAGACCGCATTGGTTTTGCGAGCTCTGGGATACAGCAACAGCACGCAACTTTATATTGCTGCTGGGGAGATTTACGGCAGCCAACGGAGGATGCTGGCCTTACAAGCAGCCTTCCCAAACATTGTGAGTCCCTCGTTAAAGTATTGGTTCTCTGCTCACAGTGTGTGACTTGCGCTCCAGGTTCGCAAGGAGATGCTATTGACTCCGGCCGAGCTCAGGCCGTTTTACAACCATTCCTCGCAAATGGCAGCGCTGGATTATCTCGTCTCACTGGAGAGCGATGTTTTCGTCCCTACGTACGATGGAAACATGGCCAAAGTTGCCGAAGGACACCGGAGGTAACTTCTTTTTCTCTGGAAACCTCTGAGGATTCACAGCCAAGGAGTTGGCTCGTTTTGCAGGTATCTTGGATTCCGCAAGACTGTGCAGCTGGATCGCAAAGTTATAATCGACCTGGTGGATCAGCTGAGAGATGGTGCCATCTCCTGGGATGAATTCTCCATCGCCATCAAACAAGCTCATAAGTTCCGGATGGGAATGCCGAAGAGACGACGAGTTTTTCCAGACAGACCGAAAGAAGAGGACTACTTTTACTCCAATCCTCACGAGTGTCTCTGCAAGCCTTCATCGGATTTGAGCGCCACCGATTGATAACAATTTTTTTCGCCTATGGTATATTCTTGTATAGTAGGAGTCGAATAAAAGGTGTTCTCAGATTTTCTTTAAATGTTATGGCGCCATTGCTCGTCGCGCTTGGCTATGGCGCCGGCAAGAATGGCTGCGTTCCGCCGCTGCCGCGCGAGAAATCCTCGCGGCGGAGGCCGCGGATGGTGCTCACGGGGAGGCGCCAGCTTGTATTCTCGCCGATCGTGCTTCTTGGATTTGCCCCGCCGGTTCTTCTTGCGAGCGAGGGAGATCGGCAGCGGCATTTCGCCGTTGACGAGATCGAGGTCAGTGTTCTTGCTTGGATTTCCTGGAAATCTTCCCTGAGATTGATGATTCTTTAGCAAATTATCCGCCAAGACATCGAGGACAGGCAGTATTACGTGACTGGTGATCTCACCAGGAGCATCTACAGCGACGATTGCCGGTAATCTCTTCGCAATTTCTTTTCTAGCCATTGCTCGCAATCATCCATGCTAAAACTTTTTTAGATTCATCGATCCAACTACGAATGTCCAAGGTGTGGATTCCTACGTTGCGGCAGTGAAATCGCTGTTCGATCCGAGCGACTCCAAGCACGAGCTCTTGGAAATCCGCGTGACAAGCCCGACCACAATCGAGGCGAAATGGAGGCTCCAAGGGTATGTATAGAACTTTAAAAGCTTTCTTATAATCATTTCCGGATACTTTACTGCTTGGATCGCTATCCAGGTCGCTCAAACTTCCTTGGAAACCCCACATTGCAGCTTACGAAGGTAAGAAATCTTTCCTAGATTTTTTCTTGGATTTGCTGCGTTTTTTTTTGTTTTTTTTTGTTTTGGTTCATTCTAGGAACAACCACATACACCCTCAACGATGATGGTTTCGTTGCATCGCACAAGGAAACATGGGACATCTCACTGCTGACGGCATTTATCGAGTTTCTGACGCCTTCTTTCCGTTGATCATAAAAGGCGGTACCTAGGTACTATAAATTTTTGCCCTCAGGGTTAAGGCAACTATCCTCTTCGATGGCGAGCGCAAAAGCAAGCGCTTCTTCTTCGTCTTCCACTGGAGCTCAGCCGATGAGGAGGCCGGGTTATGGCCAACAGGGAACGCCTGTCCGCCTCACCTGTAACCATTTTGCCGTGACGCTCTCTCGAGGAATGGATGTAGCGCAATACAACGTGAGTGTTCTTTCTTTTCCTCTCTCTCTCTCTCTCTGTGTCTCTCTCTGGCTGCTGACCCAGCATTTTGCAGGTGAAGATATCATATGCTGATGATCCTAACGACAAGGTTCTCGTCGAGAAAGGGGCGAACCGCCGAGTAATGGACAAGGTCCGGGCCGAGCTTGAAAAAAAACTCATTTTTGACGGAGAGAATACGGCGTACGTGCTCGGCGATCTCTCTTTCGGCGACAAGGAAATGGAAGTCACGCTCGACAAGGCAATGGGAGCATCTTCCTCGTCTGGGGGCCCCGCGAAAAAGAGAAGAGCGGATGCCAGCTCTTACAAGGTGAGGATCAAGTTCTCAACCAAAGTGGACTTGGGCATCCTTATGAGGAAGGAAGATCTTCATTTGTCTCGGGCGCAAGATGCATTGAGGGTCCTTGACGTTCTTGTTCGCGAACAAGCCGCCAGAAGGTATGAATAGCGTTTCTTCTCGTCAAAGACTATCTCTTGTTTGGCAGGGAGTACGTGTTACTGCGTGAGAGCTACTTTCATCAGTCCCTTGGTCCAGTAAAAGATGTTGGAGAAGGGGTGGAAAGCTGGAGTGGCTACCACGCTAGCTTCCGACCTTGTTCTCTGGGATTATCACTGAACTTGGGTAAGTTGCAAAAGAGTTCTTTTACAATTTCTTAATGCTTGTCAAAGCAGATCCGTCGACAACAATCGTCATCAAGCCCCAGTTGGTGCACGAATTTCTTGCGGAGTATTTCGATACATCTCCAGGAAGCATTCGTGCCGATCACTTGACCCGGGTATGTCTGATGACATCGCTTTTCGTCAACTAGTTCTTGATATTTGTGCAGGCGAAGAGAGTGCTAAAGGGAATCGTGGTGCAAGTTTACACTAAGACGAGGCACAAAATATTCGGTTTTAGCGATGAACCAGCATCCTCTCAAAGGTAATCACTGTCCTTAGCTTCTTGATTGGCGTTATGAAGTGCTCGACTTCACAGATTTGAATTGAAAGAGAAAGGAGCCGATGGCACGTTTAGACTGAATTCAACGACAGTTCTTCAGTACTATCAAGCTAGATACAACGAAACCTTGCAATTCCCCAACTTGCACTGTGTCAACGTAGGGAAAGCCACGCGAGCAGTTTATGTACCGATGGAGGTAAACATGGTGTCCATCGATAAGTTTTTTTAAAAGAGATGTTGCAGTTCTGTTCGATTCTGCCTGGACAACGATATAAAAGAAAGCTGAGCGGGAATCAGATTCGCAGGCACCTTGACCAAGCACGACTGCTGCCGAGTGATCGTGCTAATGTGATCAACTCGGTTCGTTTTACCCAAAACAACCAGCGGAATCGAAACCTCACTTTTGGTGGTTACAGGGCATTACGCAACTACTGTCAAATTCAAGCGTGGAATTGCAGTCCCTCAACGTCAAGGTTGACAGCAAAATGATGTCAGTTCAAGGACGTGTTCTTCCGGCGCCACTGGTTACGACTTGTTTCGCGATGTCATCGTTCTCATGTATGCTTCTGCAGCTCAAGTTTGGACACCGGGACGTACCAGTCCAGGGTGGGAGGTGGAACTACAACCGCGATGTAAGCCAACGTCGTGCCTGAGCATTATCGTAATTTTCCTGCTACAGACCGTCGCCCGAGCTGCCCTTCCTGTCAAGGAGTGGATTGTTGTTTGCTTTAACCGCAAAAAGAATCCTTTCAGCCATCAAGACGTTTCTCGGATTGCTAACCAGTTGAAGGAATGTTGCGTGCAGAAGGGCATGGTGAGTGAAGACTTTAGTCTGGTCACGAGGCTAAAGCACGGTTTTTCTGTGCAGGCTGTTGAGAATCCCGGTCTAGTGTTGGTAGAAGATCCAAGCTTTTCTGAGCATCCAGGTTGGGAAAGGGTGGATATGATGGTTGCCAAGATGCGGAAGAATAATCCTAATCCCGGTCGTCGTCCGGGGTTCGTTCTCTGTCTTCTTCCGAGCAAGGAATCGGATGCCTACGGTACATTTATTTTGTTCACAGCATATCTTGTAACTCAAACTAGTGTTTGCTTTTGCTGTGCAGCGCCATTCAAACGACTCTTTTTGACGAAAGAAGGAATTCCGAACCAGTGCATAGCACCCCAGAGGAATCCAAACAATCAATACCTGACGAACGTCGTTTTGAAGATGAATGCAAAGGTGTGTCTCTGTTTCTTTGTTGCGGCATTTCGGCAAATTAACATCTTTTTTGTTGTTCAGTTAGGGGGCTACAACACGGTTTTAACTAGTGAATTTAAGAAAGAATTGCCAAAGCTTTCATATGCACAAACCATGATCTTGGGAATGGACGTGTCGCATGGATCTCCATTTTCCCACACCCCGTCGGTCGCGGCTGTAAGTTGTGTCGGGATTTGCACCTGCGTCCTTACGTTTTTTTCGGTAAGCAGATGGTTGGCTCTTTTGACTGGCCAAGGATTACGAGGTACTCCGCTCGCGTGATGGCGCAATCGGCAAAACAGGAAGCGTTCGCCAACATTCCATCGATGCTGGAGTAATTCCTTTTTTCCTGATCATTGAGAATCTAATCTCTTTCTTTCGCAGGAGCCTCTTGAAGAACTTTAAGAACTTTCAGGGCGAGAAGGGTTGCTACCCTCAGCAATTGATTGTGTTCAGGTTCGGTCTCTTATCCCAAACCGTGTGCTAATTATTTGTATGACTTTAAATCAGAGATGGAGTGAGTGAATCCCAGTTTGAGAGCGTCCTCACCGGGGAACTGCAAGACATCATCAAGGTACTGTCATTTGCCTGATCCTAGCAACGCCGCTCCATGCCATTCTTTCCAGACTTGCGAAGGTCTCGGCATCAGGCCGAAGATAACTCTGGTCGTAGCACAGAAAAGGCACCATACCCGTTTCTTGCCGGTGGGGCAGCAGAAAAAGAATGTCGAACCTGGTACGTCAACAAACAAGTTTCTGTTCGTGACGCTCGGAAAAACTGCAATTGCAGGGACCGTTGTGGACCGCGACGTCGCACATCCTACGAATTTCGACTTCTTCCTGTGCAGTCACTTCGGCATGCTCGTAAGCACAGGAACCGTTTCACTGTTCTATAGTAACTGGAAAAGTTTGTTCCAGGGAACAAGCAGGCCGACGCACTACATCGTGCTCTACGACGAGATTGGTTTCAGGCCGGACGAGATCCAAATGACCATCAACAATCTGTGCTACACGTAAGTTCCTTGTCAGCAATTTGGAAACCTCGAAACTTACACGTGTGTTTTGCTCACGCAGCTACGTCAAGAGCACGACAGCAGTATCAGTGGGTAAGTAGTTTGTCCCAGTTTGCAAACCAGATTTCCTGATCTCGTTTTCCTCTGTCGCAGTTGCGCCGATCAACTACGCGCATCTGGCCGCGAAGAAAATGAAGAACTTTATGTCGCTGGACGGCTCCGAAACGGGGTCACTTTCATCCGCCGCTACCAGAGAGTCAGCACCGCCGGTCCCGGTTTTGCCAGAGCTCCAGGGCAACGTCGCCAACACTATGTTCTTCGTCTAGGAGAGAGGAATCGAAGAGCTCGCGCGCTGCGGTAGAGTTTCTCGTTTTTTTTACTAAAGCATTCCACTGCGAGAGATTATAGCAGGCAAAGCTTGGAATTTTTCATTCCAAGAGATTTTTTGCGTGGAGAAGTCCACAGCAACATCGGGTTTTACATATTTATATAGAAGGGAAGGTGCGATGAAAAGAATGGCGGCTTTTCTTTACATGCTTTCGAGAACCTTGAGCGTCTCCATGGCGTGCTTCTCGGGCTGGAACTGGTTGTTGAAGACGAGCCGCACAACACCTTTTTTGTCGATCACGTAAGTTTGCCTTCCCGGCAGCGAGCCAAAGAAGTCGCCGGGGATTCCCCAGTCCTTTCTCAGCTTGTTTCCTTCGTCGGTGAGCAGCGTGAATGGAAGCCGGTATTTCTTCGCAAATGCCTGCGAATAGCGAAAGATCCAACGTTAGAACTCTGAAACTTTGGAGCACTAAAGCTAAATACTTCGATCGGCTGGCCAGAAACTATCAGAGAACTCATAAATACTCTCACCAAGATTGGAAACACAATCCAATCTCTAGGGAACAAAATTCTTAGCAAATGATCTAACGGAACTCGCAAAACTGGAAGATCTCTGAAACATTTGAGCACAAAGCTGAAAGCGTCGATCGGCTGGCCAGAAACTATTAGAGTGAACACTCGGGGAAACTCTCACGATGTATGGAAACACAAAACCAAGTATATCACAATCCAATCTGGTATAATCTGAAACTTTCAAAAGCAAAAAGCTTCGATCGGCTGGCCAGAAACTATCAGCAAAGTTGATCGAGAAACTCTCTCAAAACCCAATCCAATCTTGAAACTTTCGAGCACAAAAGCTAAGAGCTTATCAGTGACCACTTCGAAAAGCTCGTAAAAACTCTCACACAAAACCAATCCAGCAGTCCAAATTCTAAGATCTCTAAGACCTTGGAAGACGAAAGAAGCTGGGAATCAAGCAATGTACCTTGTGAGACTCTGGAGTATCGGCACTGATGCCAATCACTTCCGCTCCAGCCTTCCTGAATTTATCGTAAGAATCCCGAAACGCGCAAGCCTGATCGATCAGAGATTAGACAAGGCAAGGATTTTATTTTATTTTTCCTACCTCTTTGGTGCATCCTGGCGACTCATCGGCCGGATAGAAGTACAAGACCACAGGCTTGTTCTTAAACTTGGATGAATTCACCACTCGCCCCTCCTGGTCCTTGAGATTGAACGAGGGGAGAACATCGCCCTGGCTCAGCTGCACGTAATCCCTTGCTCAGAGCCCTACACTATGAATCTTCTCAGGAATCCATCCATCCCAAGATTGGCACTCGAAATTTTTTTGAGAAAATCCTCGCAATGCGGGCATCTTACCTTGCAGCTCGTGGAAAGAAGCGTCCTGGACGGCGATTTCGCGACTCCCAGGCCGCAAACCCTGCGAAACAAGCTGGATTCCGCGGCGATTGACGAGCTGGCGAGGCATGGAGGCCGGAGAATCGCTGCGCAGGAGGAGGATGCCGGGGATTTGCGAGGCGCAGCGGCGGCGAGCACTGCTCCTCCACAGAGCGGAGCCGCTGACGAAGAAGCCATGGTTTTGGGCTTCTTTGCTTTCAAAGCTCTCCCGGTTTATTGGCCGTTGGATTGCTCTCCAATTGGACGGTCATGATTTTATATAGCCTTGCGAGAATTGAACTAAAGATAAATAATGGAGATTTAAGTAATGTGAATCTCCGGAAGGGCCTAGAGATATCTCTTCCAGGTCTGGAACTACGTGGCACGTTTTGGAGGCTCGGAAGCCAGGCCTATCGCGAGAAAACGAACGCCCTGTGAGCTTCCACGTCGAGGCATCTGGGGCCGTCCATTCTCAAACACTCCAGCGCAACGTGGGAGTGGTGGTACTTTTACTTAAAGGAGAGTCACTCGCTCGCTGGCTGGAAATCCTTTTAGACACAGGGAAGAACACCACCTACATTGGCGTGTGAGTTCTTCCCACTTTGTTGGAGCGCCAGGAGCGATCGCGAGCTTGAGTTGGGTTGAATGGCACAGGCTGCTCTTCTCTCGCGCGTCACAACAGCCCTCAATGGGATCGCCCAGCAGAGGCTTTCATCGACGAGATCAAATGCCATTGGGGGATCATCGCAGCAGCTCCTAGGACAGAGGTTGGGTGTGGTTGTGACACCGCAGCATTTCAGCAGCGCTAGCAGGATCGTTCGCACCTTTGCTCTCAAGAGCAAGGCTCCGGCAACGAGTAAAAAGGTAGCCTTGAAGAAGCCACTCTTTCCACTACGTGTAGCGATTTGAGATTTACATTGTTTTGGGCAGTCGAAGAGCACTGTCGAGGATGGCATCTTCGGGACCTCTGGAGGGATTGGATTCACCAAGCAGAATGAATTGTTCGTGGGAAGGGTCGCAATGATCGGCTTTGCAGTAAGTTCCTCTCAATATGACAGTAACGATTACGTAGTAATCTTGCAAATCGTAGGCCTCGCTGCTTGGAGAGGCAATCACTGGAAAGGGAGTCCTGGCACAGTTTGATCTGGAGACTGGGATTCCATTGAACGAGACGGAGCCTTTGCTGCTCTTTTTCATCCTCTTCACCCTGTTGGGAGCCATTGGTGCTTTGGGTGACAGAGGAAAATTCGTTGACGAAACACCAGGGCCTATCATCGAACCGGGCAAAGGGTTTAAATCCGCCATTGGGCTGAAAGAAAAAGGTAACGTATTTCTCTAATCATCTCAGTGATCATATTTCTATGGTTTGATCACAGGCCCAGTGTTTGGATTCACCAAATCGAACGAGCTCTTTGTTGGTCGGCTCGCACAGTTGGGAATTGCGTTCTCTATAATTGGTGAGCTTATAACTGGCAAGGGAGCGTTGGCGCAGCTCAACATAGAGACTGGAGTGCCTATCACTGAGATTGAACCCCTTTTGTTGTTCAACATAATCTTCTTCTTCATTGCAGCCATCAATCCTGGGACGGGTAGGTTCATTGCTGATAATGAAGAAGAGTGAATGTACGGACTGATTTTGTCACAAACAACCTTAATTAAATGTCCTTAAGATTTATTATAATCCAGTGGGGAATGATCAAAACATGTCACCAAACTGACAGCTCGGCCCAGAGTTTGTATAAGTGTCACTAGGCATCAGGCCTCAAATATTAATCATGTAGAGTCCCAACCAAGAAAGAAACATCACTGACAGATTTCCTCAACTGGCTACAAAAACCATCAGAAATCCCATGGTGAGGGCATTGAAGTGCAAGAATGTGCTGTAGCCCATTCCCCACATTAACACCCTCTCACACAACAATGATTCAACTCAAGGTACTTGTATGGGGTGTTGCAAACCTCAAGACCTCTCTCAATGGAAAATCCAAATCCTAACTCAAATTATAAGTTTTATCACACTTCCAAAAGATAATTTTTAAACATCTATGTTGTCATCCCTTTTATAAGTCTCAAATCCACTTGGATCCCAACCACTTGATTGTTAATCCCTTTGAATCATTAGAAAATTTTATATGCCACTTAAGCCACCTTGTGTCATGAATATGATTGTAGGTATTAAAGTTATTTATTGGCAAGTCTTTTAAGATATTTTTTTCTTATTACCATGATAGTAGGAGGTTAGTATTGTTAATTCTCTTGTTAGTCACTCTTTATTGAATTAAACTGTGTGATAAATATAAAGTAAAAACTCTTATATATTTTCTTATTGATCATATTTAGCTTAGTAGTTTTCTTTGCTCTGTTTTGTGTTAGTCAAGTGTCCAAATTCATAATTTAGTGCCATTCTATATTTAGTAAATTTCGAGTTAGTTCTAAAGACTAATTCCTTATACTAATGGCTTGATAAGAACCCTTATATATTGAGTACTAGTCCCTCAATATTGTTATGTAATAACTTACTATTTCTGTTAAACACTTTCACTATTATGTGATCTTAGTTTCAATCCCATTAACAAAATGTTTAGATTTATTAATGAAGCATATCTATGAAATGTAAAAAATGTATGAAGTTTGGGCTTAGACCCAAGTTAGATACAAAAAAAATACACACCTAGCAAAGAGCTAAATAATACCTTAGGTTGGTTAGCCATACTCAATCTATCTATTATCCTTATTATACATTTGAAACCCCTATATAAAGCTTTTACTTTTGTCCTAAAAAATAATTTTTAGGACAAACTTGAAGACTTATTAAATATAGAATGACACTAAATTGTAAATTTGGTACCACTATGTTTAAGCATGTTAGCCATATCCTTACATTAGGCCACTAATATAGTTTTTGCTTAACCATACGACAAAATTTAACCTTTAGATACATGTGCCAAGGAAAACAAAGTAGGACCTAAGTTTTAGGGCCTTGGGCTATTTAATAAAGGAATAGTGCTAAACTCCTGAGAGTATAGATAAAAAGTTAAGGAACATGAGTAGAGAGCAATATTGAAATAGTTTTAAAGAATCTAAAATGTCAACACTAAGATCTAGTAATTCAGCTTATGGTATAAAGTTAAAACTATATGCACTATATTTGGTATTAGAATATTTGTCTTAATGAGTACTATTTAACAAGAATGGGCAATTAAGCTAGTTGCATATGTAAAGATGAGAATAATGATTTAAGTGGGTATATATTTAGTTTTTGTGGCTTCATATTTCTCCTCGAGTATCAATTTTGGCTATACCATTTTGTACTATATTGTATAAGCTTTCATTTTGGCTTATTTGATCAATCTTGAGATATACCATTTGTATGAGATACACCTAGGCTCGTGAGTGAAATGAGATATATTAGCAACTTAAAGTTATACTTTGAGTTGGTAAGATTGGTAATTACCATTAATTATTACCATAAAAATAAGCTTCCCTTGGTTTGCCATGAGTGGCAAACAGGCCAGTCTATGGCTATTTAGCATGATATTAGTAGTGATCCTTCCTAATGCATGATTATGAACAAGATTGTAGACATTTTTCTATTAATTTAAGTAGTTATTGTTGTAATTTTTTAAAACTTTTCTTCCACAATGGCAAAAGATCAGTATTGCTAAACCATTTATTAGTTTCCACTCAAGTCAGTTGAGAAATTATTCATCACATGTTCATTTTACTTAATGAGTATAAAGACAAAAATTTTAAGTGCTTTAGAAAAACTCATTCTTTAGCTTGCACTTGCTATTGTTGTTAGTGTTATTGAGCCTAGTCCC